CGCATTTACCTTGGTGGCGGGCGAATCCCCGAATCCTTCACAAAGAAAGGATTTAGACGGACGTCTGTATTTGGTTTCACCCTATTCCCGTGTTCGAGAGAGAAGCTATTAACAACTGAAGCTACAGCACCGTGAACTATCTGGAAAAGTTTCGTGTCGGAGTTTCCAATACAAAATCCGCGTTTAGGTGTCGGAAATGACACTACATTTCCCTTTGCATACAGAAATGTGGCTCATCCCGTTTTTCCTGTAACATATCTGTTTCAGACCAGAGTTCCACTATTTATTGCTGGAAGCAATTGATGGTCAACAGATGCATGCAACTCCGAATCTGGTTGTCAGACCGGACGTAGCTCCAGATCCAAATGAAGCTGCCGAGGAGACCAAGTACGGTTCCTTGGTCTCGTGTTGTCTCTCGACTGGCGCGTTTGGGTCGTGGGTGCTTTCACGTAGTACTGAATATTTTGTGATGTTTGGGGCGGGAGGTGTACCAAATGGAAGCGCCGGGGAGGCCGCACAAAGGAAGAGAGGGGTTGTGTTATGTGGTCAATTTAGAATTTGTCTGGTCCTTGTACACGTGGGCTGGCTCTTGGGCTATGCCCAGGTCCATTTGTCCTGTCGTCTTCACAATACATGCATCAAACTGCACTTACTGACTTCTTATACCGGCCAGGAGGTCTCGGGACGCAACAATGATCACCTGATGTTTAATTGTCACTTCAAGATTTTTCTGCCTCTTGTGCGTGTGGATTTGTCTTTGAGCCATGCTCAGGAGTAGTCGCTTTGCTCTCTTTGGAATACGTGTATCCAATTCCACTTATTGCCTTCTTCCACATGGTGGGTAGTCTCGGGACACCACAAAATGGCTGCTCGCTTAAGTGCTTTTAAAATTTGCATTTAAACAAGCCGAATATGAAGGGTACACCACATACATCTGCCTTTAACAAGCACAATAGGAGGAGCATGTAACATTCTGCAGAGAGCAAAGACAAAACAAACTCGTGAGAAACGTCCCTTTGCTTTGACTATTTTAAATCTAAAGCAGGTTTTTTTCTAAATTTATGAACAAAGGTTTACTAATCAACACACTTCGGTTTTTAAACAAATGCGCGAGTATCAAGTCTTACTCGCTTAGTGGGCGGCGGTTTCAAGCGTTGGTGCATTCTATAATGAATGTTCGTAAGCGCAATGCTAGGGTGGCTTTATGCAAGGTATGAAGTAGTTAATTTTGTACAATCAAGCACATAGCCTACTAGCTCATATCTCACCTCCTTAACCGCACGCGAATACGATCGTAAACGAAGACGTGTTGATTTTGATGTCTCCACACATTCCTATCGCTTCCCTTACATCTGGGAAGGTGAATTGGTGCCAGTAAAATACGCAGATAAAATCTTTGCTAGTCAGTGGCTATCAAATGAGGAAATCCTGATTGGTACGAAATGTAATCATTTGGGGGTCGTCAATCTGAGCACACGTAAAATCTATGATATTCCTCTCCTCGAGGGCTCAACAAGGTACTTTTCGATGCTAAAAGAGTCCCTCTTAGGAATACTCTCCTCGAGGAGTCTTGTGGTTGTGGCATCCACGCTATCCAAAAGAACGCAACAGGTACACGTTTGGCCACCGGTGGTGAGAATGTGAATGATGTCGGTGTCTACAACCTTCCAGATTTATCTCCTCTTTGTGTATTTGAGGTTAGTATTCTGATTTTGACTTGATGTTTACCTCTTTATTGCTTTAATGAGA